AGAATGGAAATGATCTTTGCTGCTAATTAATAGTTGTTTCAACAATCAATAGAGCTGAAGGTAGGATTGACATTCTTCCAGAGAACTAAGAAACCTTACAGTGTGATAGCGTGAAAGGTAAGCTATCCTACTGCCATTTGGAAGTGGGTCTAAGACTGTCATTCAAAAAATAGATCTGGTGGGCGCCTGGGTGGCTCAGTTGGTAAGCGACTGCCTTCAGCTCAGGTCATGATCCTGGAGTCCCGGGATCGAGTCCCACATCGGGCTCCCTGCTTAGCAGGGAGTCTGCTTCTCCCTCTGACCCTCTTCCCTCTCGTGCTATCTCTCATTCTCTCCCTCTCAAATATATAAATAAAATCTTTAAAAAAAATAGATCTGGACCCACTTAAACACATAGATAATGACTCAGGCCTTAAATTTCTTTCACACATGTGGGGTCAAGATCATTCTAGCCTCTATTAGTTAAGAGAATACCTTAATTAAGAAATTAATTTCCAGATAACTGCATAGTTTATGTGCTGTACAAATTTTTTTGGCAATAAATCAGTTAAATGTTGGAGGACAGCTACCAAAAACAATATTTGGATGTAAGATGAGTTGATCTCAAGCCTAATGATATAGAAAGATTCAGAGCCTGCTGAGTGGTAATAACACCACATCGTCAGTATAGAGGCAGATAATTATCTTTCCCTTAAGAAAAAGCCATGCACTAAGCTCATCTAAAAGTGGTTTTAGTTCCTTAAGGAGCGTATTTTGAAAACAAAAGGGAAGCTCTCTGCTTGAACCAAGAGAGTTATCTGATTGTTGGCATGACAGAGACTGTCTAGCTGGTTATTAAACCAGTTTCCTTTCCCTCTGGGCCCACAGTTCAACTACATTTCCCAGCTTCCCTTGCAGTTAGGTGTGGGCAAGTGAGTTTCGGCCAGTGGGATTGGATGTAATTCACCTTTAGTGTGGTGCAAGACACCTCAGAGTGACCTTGGATGTGATGTATTGAAGATGGTGGATCTTTCCATCAGTCTAGGTCCCTCAACACTCCACTCTTATTGGGCTTATGCGGGAGAGAAATAACTGTCTATTGTGTAAAGCCACCAAGATTTCAAAGTTTATGTTAGAGCAGCTAGGATATAGTCAATATAGCATTTAAGTAGAGCCAAAAATACACTTCTATGTCTCTGTATCTCCATCTCCTCAACTGTAAAATGAAGATAATAGCACTTAGCTCCTAAGTTTGCTTTAAGAATTAAACATGTTAGTGTATATGAAGTGCTTCAAACTGTGCCTGACACATAGTAAACATTCATGTTAGAAATTGTTATTACAAAGCTTCCTAGTAATAGGAAGATACAGTTTCAGTATAATTCAAATTTCTTCTGACTATTCAAATTCTAGTAGTAAATGACGTCACATTTATGTTACTATCCACATTGTGCTGATCTGTGGCCCCATCACTGTAGGGCTTCAGTATACTTCTGGTCACCTTGGGTTGTCCCACACATACTCTGAAATTGTTCTTCTCTGATTTCCATATTGTTGTTTGCTTACCACTTCTGAAGTTCCTGGGGAGTAGGGAGTGGCAGAATGAGTGTGCTGATCAACCCAAGGCATTCATTTGTACCAAAGCTATAGATCCTCAAAATGGCAAAAATAGACTCCTATACATTTGTATTCGATTTTTTCCCAAATTTGCTTTAATTTTAAAAATTCAGGTAATAATTAACTATATTTCAGGAAATGTTAGAAACACATTTAAGAAATTATTCTCAGGGGCGCCTGGGTGGCTCAGTTAAGTGTCTGCCTTCTGCTAGGGTCGTGATCCTAGGCTCTCTGATCAGCGGGGAGCCTGTTCTCCCTCTTCCTCTGCCTGGCCCTCCCCCTCCTTGCGCACTCTCTCCCTGTCAAATAAATAAAATCTTTAAAAAAATTATTCTCAGATATCACAGAACAAGTTTTAATTCATTTAATTTTGCATTGTCAATCAACAGGCTTATGGGAGGTAGTGATCAGTCCACACTGCTGAATCCAGAAAGTCCCACTCAGTTGCCTAGCCTGTTCTTTAGCCACTTCTTATCCATACACTGGGTTACCACAGTATAACCAGAAACCGCTCCTAACTTTGGCTGACAGTGATTCTTAAACTGAGGTCCAGAGACCTCCCCTCCCCCTAAGTAACCCACAAGAAATCCATGGATAGAACTCAGAAATCCTATGATGGCCTTGGATGGGGAAAAAAAAAATTACATCTTCAGGTTGGTGGAATGACATTACAGCCCGCAGTGGGTAGCAAAGACCCTCCTGCACCTGGCCCATCAGGGCTCACAGGTGGCGTGGGGTGGTGCTGGCCTTGGTGGTGCCTTTGTACCCACAGGAGCCCAGCCCTCACAGAGGCTACCATTCCGGTCCCTGCCCCATATGGCCCTTGGCAGCAGTGCCTGCCCACTCTCTGCCGGCCCTCTGTCCCCACCTTTGGCCCTGAAGAGCACAGAGTAAAGATCCTAGGGATGGATCCTAGGGAACCTGCCTGTAGGTTGGGAAAGGCAGGCTCATGTGCGCTTTGTTTATCACCATACCTCCTGCCTTGTCTTTCTACCACCTCTAGTCCCCACCTGAGGCCCCAGTGAGCTCTGAAGAGTCCAAACCTTGGGACCAATCCAAGGGAACCTGCCTATGGTTTCAGACTTACCAGGAAGACTCATCTTGCACATAGATATTACTTTAATACCCCAGCAGAAGGGAAAACAGCCAAGCAGAACAGCCCAGCCAATGAGAGATGGTCACAACTCAGACAATGAAAAGCCACTATATTTAGAACTCCCACTTTACACCAGCAGACCTATTGTTTCTGACAGCCTTCCCAACTCACCCCCCTTTCCTCTATAAAAGAGCAGTCCTCTCCTCTGCTCTCCAGACATGCCTATGGTTTTGCTGTAGCTTGCTTACCTAGATTTCAAATCCCTGCTGTTCCTGAAAAAAAATTTTTTTACTTATAAAATAACAGTTTTATTTTTAAGGTTGACATTACTTGGTGATCAAAAGGGATTCAGAGAAGACCCCCAACAACTGAAGCTGGTGAGCAAACAGGTGCCACTACCCACAGAGCCAGTTAGGCTCACTGGTTTCTCACCAACCTTGGGAGTTTGAGGGTAATTCTTCTCCTGGCCTTTTAAGAGCCACTCTTTTTGTGTTTGAGCTCTCCGGGTTTTATTTGGGATTTGTTCTAAGGCTTTTATTTATTTTTATTTTTATTTTTATTTTTCCTAAGAGTCCTCATTTGGCATTTGTTCTGACTCCTTTACCCAATCTGACTGTTGCTGTTGGAACTGTGCTGGCCTTCTTCACTTCTTGTTTGGAACCAGACCCTTCCTATTTAAACTATGCTACCCTGGGCGCCTGGGTGGCTCAGTTGGTTAAGCGACTGCCTTCGGCTCAGGTCATGATCCTGGAGTCCTGGGATCGAGTCCCGCCTTGGGCTCCCTGCTTAGCAGGGAGTCTGCTTCTCCCTTGGACCCTCCCCCCTCTCTCTCTCTATCTCATTCTCTCTCTCAAATAAATAAATAAATAAATAGATCTTTTAAAAAAAAAGAAAAAGAAGGAAGATGTAAGCGTACTGTCATGAAAGATGTTGACAGTATATTGTCAAGTGAGAAAAAAGCCAATAAAACATCCTATATAGTATCACTTTTGTTAAAATATATACAAATGCATACATTGAAGAAAGGCTGGAACTCAGAATGTTAATAGAGGATGACTTTATGCTTTTGTCTAAAATTTTTAAAACTACAAATTGGGTTACTTTTACAAAATAATTACTTCTTGACGTAAGGGTTTAAAAGCTCTTTACTTTGGTCAGTAACTGATTTTTTCCTGAGGAAAGAAAAACAAGCTTATATCATTAAAATAAAAGGATGTGAGGAAGAAGTAATTTGGTAAAAATTGTCATCTGACAATATACAACAATTTTTGTTCTTCCATGTCAAAATTTGAAATGGGTGAAGTGGCGTAGTTACTGTTATATATATTTATTTTGAAGCTATTGTCAGAAGGATTATGTTTCTTTCCCCTGTTATTTTCTTCCAGGTCTTCATTTAGAAACAAATGAACAATAATCATCACTTGAAGGAGGGAAAGGTGCCTTGAAGAGTGTTTCTTGGGCTTTAGGAAGGAAAATGCTATTACAGAATGTGAGAAATCCTGCCTCAGGCTAAGCAGATTAAATTCTTTCATCTACCTTCAAAGCCTGTGTTTTCTTAGACCCCTACTGCTCATCACCGAAAACAACTCTGCTAGGTTGCCCTGACTCTAGAGAGGCAGAGTTTGGGGCAACCAGGGACACACATAATCTGCTTTTTTATCACTTTAGACAGTTCAGATTGTAGTTCTTGCCTTAATATTTCAGAGACAATACAATAATGGTCATTGGAACTAGAGGAAGGTGAGCTATGCTCTCTGCTTACCATGGGAGAAAGGGAGCTTTCCTGGGTTTAAATCTTAACTCAGATGTAAAGTAGTATATCACAAAACAGATATTTAAAGGAGTTTTTCACCCCAACTTTTTACTATGAAAATTTGTGAACTTGCAGAAAAGTTGAAAGAACAGTACGGTTGGCCACTACCTACATTCAACAATCATTACTATTTTGTCAGATTTGCTTCATCTAAAAATATATATATGTGTGTTGTGTAAGTATGTAACATTTTCTCTCCTGGAAAAATAACCAGGAGGGAAAGCTTATGTTGGTAAATTTCTCTGCAGGGGTCATATCTACTTAAATGCTATCTATAGTAGTAGATACTACTATAGGAAGAAACAAAGCTGCCTTCAAAGAAAAAGGAACGTGATTTTTGATTTTTCTTATTTAGAAAGAGCTCATCTTGTCTCCAGAAGACAAGCTGAGTCTTCCACACAGCTCACCACCTGTGTAGTTATTTGCAGATTTTCACCTTGCACTTTGGTAATCATAACATGTTTTGAAGCTGATAGATTTTTCTTTTTGTTCTAGATGATCCCTCTGATAAGCCACCTTGCCGAGGCTGCTCCTCCTACCTCATGGAGCCTTATATCAAGTGTGCTGAATGTGGGCCACCTCCTTTTTTCCTCTGCTTACAGGTAACTCATTAAGGAGAGGCTTGCCTCTCTTGGCCTAGTTTTATGGATATAGTAAATTCAGAGATGACTATCAAAGACTCAGAAGAACCATACCTTGTTAAATCTATTCCTTCTACTTGGTCTTTCATTATGCATTTTACCAATGAAAAGTTGGAGAACAGAGCAGATGGATGACACAGACTGTTGAATATTCTATATCTCTGTATCAGCCTAATGCTCAACACTGTTTTTGCCAGTAGATTTAAAGTATTGGGACTACAGGAGTGCCTGGGTGGCTCAGTCAGTCGGGCGTCTGCCTTCAGGTCGGGTCATGATCTCGGAGTCCTGGGATTGAGCCCCACATCGGGCTCCCTGCTCGGCAGGGAGCCTGTTTCTCCCTCTCCCACTCCTCCTGCCTGTGTTCTCTCTCTCTCTCTGTCAAATAAATAAAAACCTTCAAAAATAAAGTATTGGGACTATAGGAAACAGAATTGGAGGATTATTCCTTTTTTTTTTTTAAAGATTTTATTTATTTGAGAGAGAGAGAATGGGGGAGAGCACATGAGAAGGGGGAGGGTCAGAGGGAGAAGCAGACTCCCCGCTGAGCAGGGAGCCCGATGCGGGACTCGATCCAGGGACTCCAGGATCATGACCTGAGCCGAAGGCAGTCGCTTAACCAACTGAGCCACCCAGGCACCCCCAGGATTATTCCTTTTGATAGCACCTATGATGCTGTTATTGAAGAGTGATCTTTGGGCAGGTGACAAACGAGAGAACAAATCATTCTGTGGATGATGATAGTAATAATACTAATTACAAGGGCTTACTTTGTTGTTGGGCACTCTTTTGAGTAATTTACGTGAATTAACCTTTAGTTCATCACTATAACCCTATGAAGTAGGTATGATTAGCATCCCCATTTTATAAAGGAAACTCAGGCAAAGAGAGTTTAAGTAATTTGCTCAAGGTCACACAGCAAATACCATATGTTATTGGCTCCAAGATGCTATTGATTATAAGAAGCATCCCAAATTTAGAAATGATAAATGGCTGATGGAAGTTGTAATATACTTTTTATTATAAGATGAATCTTCATTTTGGAGTTTTAAAATAAAAAAATACCTGTCTTAGAATTGCCTAAATACTTTAAGTTTGGAGCCAGGATTCAAATTTACTCAGTCTGATTCCAGGGCTTATGCTCTTATCAAAAGAGGCAAAGTCTTAGGAAAAAGCCTTTTTTTCAGATTATTTTTTCCTCTGTGAGGGCCACTGAAGAGCTGTGATCAGGTATGTAACCATCCTCTTGCGGCTGCAGACAAGATTAAATGAATTCTTAAAAAGTCATCATAAGAGTAGAGCACCCCCAAACCATCTTTTATCCTATAAGAAGGCATTTCAAAAAGTAGCTTTTTGGTAACTTACTTTTCCTTTCTCTTGCAGTGTTTCACTCGAGGATTTGAGTACAAGAAACATCAAAGTGATCATACTTATGAGATCATGGTAATGGTGAAGTTGCAGGGAATTTGCATTCATTTGTCAAGTGTTGTACTGGGAATGTCTATTTTTCTTCATCTCCAAGTATCTCCTTCCCTTTTCTTTCCTCCTCTTCTGAATTAGGTAATCATTTCCTAGTAAGTGTTTTAGGGTTTTATGGATCTACTAAGGCATTTAAGTCTAAAAATCATTTTATATACTCTGATTTTTGTTTCAAACTTGGAAGGAATTTGAGGGGCTCCTGGCTGGCTCAGTCAGTAGAGCGTGTGACTCTTGACTTCGGGGTTGTGAGTTCAAGCCCCATGTTGGGGGTAGAGTTTACTTTAAAAAAATTCTAAAGATTAAAAAAAAAAATTACTGAGATTTACTGATGTAAGGATAAGAGGTACACTGCGTTTCAGGTTTACTGATAAACATATAGTAAATGTGTTGTTGCTGTTTTTGGGCTAATGATCTTATTATGTGGTTCATGTGGGCAGTGGTGAAGTTTACGTCTGGCACTCCCTCCTCCTGCCTTGGGGAAATTAGTTACCCTCTGAGAGTGAAGTTATAAAATGAACATTGAGTGAATGATATGACAGACTGGCTTATAGGCCAGAATAAGACTTGGCTGGAACCTGATTGATTATATTGTCACCTCTAAAGAAGGAATGAGAGGCAGATGTTGGTAGTGTCCCTTCCAAGTTCTAGCCAGAGGAATGGGCACTTTGATAAGCCAAAATGAATATCTGGTCTGCTTGGCAGGGGTATATATCTTCGTCAAGATAGTTTTGTCAGTTATCAGAAAATAACAATTCACCAAGTAGTTTTATTACATTTGGCCTCCCATTCAGTTTTTTTTGTTTTTTGTTTTTTTTACAGGAAAGAATACTGGCTGGGTATCTTAACAGTAATAATTTCACATTGTGAATTAATCCATTTATACTTGTATTAGTTTTCTATTGCTTCTATACCAAATTATCAAAAATTAGGTGGTGTAAGATAACACAAATTTATTGTCTCACAATTCTGTAGGTCAGAAGACCGTTAGGCTCACCTGGTTTGCTGCAGGTCCCATAATGTGAAAATGAAGGTGTTGCTAGCCTGGGCTTTATCTAGAGGCCCTGGGAGAGAGTCTGCTTCCAGTCTGCTGCTATTCTCATTCAGGTTGTTGAATAATTCCCCACCTTGAAGTTGTAGAACTGATGCCACCCTTCCCTTATTGGCTGTTGGCCAGGACTTGCTCTCAGCCTCTTGAGACCTTCCTTTCTCCATGTTCAAAGCTAGCAGTGTCCAGGAGTTCTTGAGGGTGATTGATGAAGAATGCCTGGAGTCTTTTTGACCTCTCCTGTTTCCTCTGTGCTGAATCTCCTGCCTACCTTCTTCTTTCTTTCTTTCTTTCAAGACTTTATTCATTTATTTGATAGAGCACAAGCAGGGGGAGCGGCAGGCAGAGTGAGAGGGAGAAGCAGGGAATCCGATTTGGGGCTCAATCCCAGGACGCCGAGACCACGACCCGAGCCGAAGGCAGACACTTAACCGACTGAGCCACCCAGGCGCACCCCTTCTTCTTTAAAGGAGCTTTAAGTTAAGTGTCTGCCTTCCATTCGGATCATGATCCCAGGGTCCTGAGATCCAGCCCCATATGGGGCTCTCTCCTCAGTGGGGAGTCTGCTTCTCCCTCTCCCTCTGCCTACTTGTGCTCTCTCTGTGTCAAATAAATAAATAATCTTTAAAAAAAATAAGCCAAAGGGAATTTTATTTATTTATTTTAAGTAATCTCTGCACCCAACATGGGGCTCAAACTCATGACCCTGAGATCAAGAGTCACATGTTCTTCTGACTAAGCCAGTCAAATGCCCCTCTCTTACCTCTCTCTTCTTTTAAAGGCTTGTGTGATTACGTTGGACCCACCCAAATTTTCTAGGCCGCTCTCCCTATTTTAAGGTCAGCTGATTAGTGCCTTAATCCCATCAGCAGAGTCCCCTCACAGCAATATCTAGTTACTATTTGATTGAATAATCAGGGGACAGGAATCTTGGGGGGAGAGGGGCGCATCTTTGGAATTCTGCCTACCACAGTGCCATAATGTATCTACTTCAGTCTCTTTAAAAGTTTAGAAGGGGTGAATTAGCATTTCTGAGTCTGATTATTTGTGGGGTCCTGTTTAAGATGAGCCTCTAATGCTGAGAGTCAGATCCTGGTCCATAATTAATCAAAGAAAATGCTCCTTACTAAGAGTTCTTGGCAGCCAACTGACTAGCCTTCCCCTACTGCTCTCTAAACACCTTCAGTCTTACAGTTTCTCCACTAATTATAAGATTTGGAATAAGATATTTTTATATTAAATTTTATTTTACAGAGCAATTATAGGTTTGCAGCGAAATTGAGTAGAAGGTATAGAGATTTCCCATCTATCTTCTGCCACAACACATGCATAGTCTCTTCCATTAACAACATCCCCCACGAAAGTGGTACATTTGTTATAACTGATGATTATAACTGATGAACCTACATTGACACCTCATTATCATCCAGAGTCCACATTTACATCAGAATTAGCTCTTGGTGTTACACATTCTGTAGGTTTATACAAATATATAGTGTTATGTATCCACCATTGTAGTATCTTACAGAGTAGTTTCATGGCCCTAAAAATCGTCTGTGCCTTGCCTGTTCATCCATCTCCCCCCCTGCCCCCGACCCCCAACCTCTGGCAACCACTGATCTTTTTACAGTCTCCATAGTTTTGCTTTTCCCAGAATGTCATATAATTGGAATCATGCATTATGTAATCTTTTCAGATTTGCTTCTTTCACTTGGTAATATTTATTTGTTTTCTCCATGTCTTTTCATGGCTTGATTGGTCATTTCTTTTTAGCAGTAAATAATATTCCATTGTTTGGACATACCACAGTTTATCCATCCACCTACTGAAAGACATCTTGATTGCTTCCAAGTTTTGGCAATTATGAATAAAGCTGTTATAAACATCCATGTGCAGGTTTTTCTGTGGACCTAAGTTTTCAGCTCCTTTGGGTAAATACTGAGGAGTGCAATTGCTGATCACGTGATAAGGTTGTTTAGTTCCGTAAGAAACTGCCAAACTTGTCTTCCAAAGTGGCTGTACCATTTTGCATTCCCAACGGCAACAAATAAGAGTTCCTTTTGCTCCACATCTTCACCAGCATTGATATCAGTGTTCTGCATTTTGGCCATTCTGATAGGCGTATGGTGACATCTTTTCGTTTTAATTGACACTTCTCTGATAAGATATGTGAAACGTCTTTTCATAAGAATAATTTTTTTTTCTCTTTTGTCAATTGCAAAATGAATGAAGGGTTGGGAAAATGTGGTCAAAGTATCTATGACATTGAGTTCATTTCACCAACATATCAAATTGTCAGAAAACTGATTTATTCTTCCCAAATTCACACAAAAATGCCTGGAACCAGAACACAAATTTTTTCCTTTGAATTGTTTTCACAGTTCCTTACGGGATAACTCAATATAGGCTGGGTAGATGGATGGTTATCCACTGTAGGAAAACAGTTGTGCGTTATCTGTTCGGGGCACCATGCCTTCCGCATAATGCTGAAGGCACTGAGTTTCACTCCAAGGCCAATTAAGTCTTCTGATTACATCATCCTTTTCTCACATACTCAACACCCATACAAACACATTTCAGAATTTTGTCCTTTACTTTGGGGAGTTTTTGGAGGTTACTAATACTCTCTTTTTTCCTGACAATCTTATCTATTCCCAGATAAGGAAAAGAAGAATCTTTCCTTCTGTAGGAATGATGACCAAATTTTGGCTTTCTAGACATGAAGCCACCAGAAACTTGACTTTTTTTTTTTTTTTTTTGCATATGAAGCCACAGAAAACTTTAAATGGGTTTTAGTACTTTTGTCATCTCACAGTGATATATTTTTGGAAGTTACTCATGCTGTGGTGGGTGGTGCATTAATCAGGATTTCTGAGTTCTATGCCTATTTTTGTCTTATAATTCTTAGAACCTTGAACAAGTCAAGGCACCTCTTTCTGCCACACCCTTTATACCAGTGATTTTAAACTTTAGTGCCTAAGAATTACCTGGGAGCTTCTTAAAATTGTAGATTCCTAGGCCCTACTCTTAGAGATTCTGGTTAGTAAGGCTGAGATTGGGTCCAGGAATTGAATAACACTGATTCAACTTTAAGAAAAACTCCCTTATGCCCATTTATTTTTTGGTGTAGAAAATCTTTCTTGTTTATCTCACAGTAAAGTTGGTGAGGACTAATTAATTTCCTAAAGTAGTTTTAGAAATAACATAAGCTCTTCAACTATGAGTTTTCATATTTATATGTATGCTGTTTGCCAGATTATGATGAATATAGACATAGACAATATATGACATAGACTTCTCTTTTGGATCTCATGGTACCTCATGTGCTGGACCTATTCATAGTATGTACTCAGATAAAAATGTGTTGCTTATTAGCAGTGTAATTTCACAAATCAGTTTTGGGTTTTTTTTTTTGGTCATCAACAAAAGGTATAACAATTTTTTTTTAAAGATTTTATTTATTTATTTGATAGAGACACAGTGAGAGAGGGAACACAAGCAGGGGGAGTGGGAGAGGGAGAACCAGGCTCCCCGCAGAGCAGGGGCCTGATGCGGGGCTTAATCCCAGGACCCTGGGATCATGACCTGAGCCGAAGGCAGACACTTAACGACTGAGCTACCCAGGTGCCCCAGTATAACAATTTCTAAATGCCTGTGTAATCTGGAGACCTCTCCTGTCACCTTTTTAAAATAACTTACAGAAAATTTCAAAAAAACAAAATTTTATTTTTACCCTAAAATAGAATAGTGTTTTCGTTATCTGTTGCTACCTGATAGCTACTTCAAAAGATTGTGGCTTAAAATACCAACTATTTTATTATCTCCCATAGTTCTGCAGGTCAGGAATTCAGATTGGGCACAGTGAGGGTGGCTTTCATGCCCACATGATGTGCGGAGGTTAGAAGTCCACAGGGCTTTT